GAATTAAAAAGATCTTAAGAAACAATTTCAGCATAGCTTCATTTTTTCCATTAACGTCGAACCGTGCCGTTCCTATTGTTCCAGTAAATCTTGAAAAACGTGAATCTCAAGATCCGTCCATTGAAATTCGTGTTTCACGAGAGAGCAATTCAGTAATATTTCAAGCGGTCTCCTTTCTCTTAGATTCTCCTTTCAGACGCTCAGCTCTCGCCGATGCTAAAGGTAAACTTTTGGCGGCAAAGTCGGTCGATCTCGAGTTTCCTTTGATCGAGGTATCCTCTTCTCCTGTCATCCATTTTTCTCTGTGCAAAGTAAACGACGTTCGATCCGCTAACAGAAGACCACGACACTTTCGCGAATTCCTCGCCTATCGATCATGCGTGCGATCAGCTGCACAAAAGTCGGCCCACGCTTCATTGAACACCTGTGAATCGAATTGTATATTATTACCCTTACCGGAGTCACACATTTTATCTTGTTGGACGAGTCAGTTGATGTTCAGACATTTTTACCCTCGTCAATTGTTATCTGAATTCACTGAAGGTTCTCTGATTTTCTTTTTCAAATAATATAGTCTGACAATGACAAATAATAGTTATCCTATCTGAGACAATTAGTAAACATTTTCTCACACAAATCTTAAAATTGGTAGAAAGAAATTAAAGTTTGGATAAATTTGTTTTATTTAAAGGGAACATAGAACCTCAATAGATGAAGTAATTTTTTATACAGTTTGAATGTGAACAAAATAATTGCTTTGTATAGGAGTTAACTATTCTGAGTTGATTAATATTTTTATAAAATTTATGAACCTTTCCGCGAAGTTATCACTTTTGCAGATGAGGAACTCTTTTACTGCAAGGATAATCAGCGTCGCTAACAAAATTCAGTAGATATTAGATCAACTATGAAGAAGAATTTTTTACTGTCTTCGGTGATGTTCGAATAAAGCGTAAAAAGTTTTTACCTCCACGTTGTTCAGGATTTTTAATAAAGTCTTACGTGACCTATTCTTGAAGCGAGTTCTTGGAAACTTGAAATAAGATTTGCAATAACTGGAGGTGTTGCAGGTAGTAAATTTATTTTTATTTTTAACATGATGTTTAATATTTAGATTATATGACGTTACAACAATTTATAGTGTATTTAAAAAGAATTTAAAATATATACAAAATGAGAGAAAATATAATAAGATGTCATAATTAATGTTATAATAATATTTATTAAAATTAATTAACGTTATTGAAGTTATATGTCCAGACACCTTTCAAAACTTGCATAAAATTATTTCTAAAAATTACAGTCAATAATTTTCCCAAAATATTGATTATTGAATCTATATTTATTGCACTCTCCATACAAAAGTCCCCTTCAAAATTTTAAGTCCTCTTCAGGTACTCTATGCAATTAAACGATAAACTTAATCCCAGACGACGCAAATCTGATCTTCTTATATTTTCGTTCAATCTTCTTCAAATAATCCGTTTAATTCCTCCAAGTAACTTGAACTTCATTTCAATTCGATTTCACCAGACCGGAATGGTCCGGATCTTCAGAAACTTGTTTCAGAATTAAAGGCCAGAGATATAATCATGCTTTTATACTTCCTCTTCAATCTTTATTGACACTTTTATTAAGAAGTTTGGTGCAGTAGTCAGCTAAACCCGACAATCACAGTTTCGATTGCTTAGTAATTTAAGCGACGAACGAAGAAAGAGTTCTTGTAGATCGTACACAGTGCAAAGTCTCAACAATCGATAAAGATCTGTTTGCATTTTCATGATTTCGCCGAGATCAGCACAGAGGTGCTCGTTATGTAATTTAGGGTACTTCAATTATTCTTGACTAATGACTGCAGCCACGACCTTTCGACGTAAATGGAAGCAAAATAGGAGTCGCTGGAAACTCTGGTTCTTCGAAAATTACTGGACTTTCTTCTGTTAAATGCATTTGTAGTATCCTTGATTATTTTTAGTGTTAGCACAAATGTTTGTAACTTTCACTACTTTAAATCAATAATTAAAATTGTGCAAGTTTCTGGAAGTTTATTATGAACTTTTCAAGGTGGTTTTCAAGAAAAGTATTTTATATGAACAGGTAAATATTGTCATAGTAAAACAACTTTTTCCATATTTTCAGATAAAATATGCTATTATAATATACCTGTATTTAATGTATAAACACTTGCATGTATAATAAAAGAATAATTTTTAACACATTCTTTGTAGAAAATACATTAATATATCATACGTACATGTACTTCCAACTTGCTATAGTAAAACATAACCTCTCACCATGTTCTATAAAAATATGCTATGATAAAATACTTGTATTTAATGTATAAATGTGTCTATAATAAAAGAGTCATTTTCAACACATTCTTTGTTGAAAATACATTAAAATATCATACATACATGTACTTCAAACTTGCTATAGAAAAACATAACCTCTCACCATATTCTTAAAAAAAATATGCTATGATAAAATATTTGTATTTAATGTATAAATACGTCTATAATAAAAGAATAATTTTTCATCGCATTCTTTATAGCAAATACATTAAAATACCGTATATATATGTACGTAAATTATGCTATAGTAAAACATAACCTTACATATTCCTCGTAACAAACATGCTACAATGCACAAATTCTAATATAATAAAATACTAATTTTCCAACACATTTCTTACAAATACATTAAAAGAATGTACATATACACCTGCAACAAATAACCTGTTCCTACAAAATACAAAAACATTTGCAAAACATTGCAGAATTTTAGAGGAAAATATACAGTAATATGTTAACATAAATATTTACGGTTGGTTATTTCCAAGTCCCCGTGCAGTTTAACCACTCGTGTAACGGGTACATTTGTAGCTTTTTTACGATTAGAATAAACAAGACAGAGGAGAGAGAACAAGAGAAATAGGCGATGAAGGGTCGAAAGGACGCGAAATTACGTGCAAGCTCGTGGATACAGGGGGCTAGTAGAAACATACCTGCATATCAACGTGAAATTCTGCTTGAGATTCTTCGTGCGCCATGGCATAGTTACTCGTTGCACTCGGAACTCTATCCGTATTCGCGTGTGCGCCCCGGGTCGTACCAGCACTCTGAGTAAGCGGTAGCGACGCGCGTCGGGACGCCTCAAACGAGTCCGAGAACGTGTCTGCACCCTGCCCTGAACACTTTTTAGCTTCGACTTTGTTCACCTACGTTATACCTTCTTCTACCTTATATTTTTTAGTTGACGAAGTTTAATTTAGATTCGGACATTTTAACATATTTTGGTTGACGGAATTTAATTTAATTTTGTTCGTTTTGTTCAACATTTTTTGGTTGACGAGATTTAATTTACTTTCGTTTGTTTTAGTTAATATTTTTTGATGGACGTTTAATTCACTTTTGTACATTTTAGTTTCTAAATTCTCAAATTCCAAATTTCCAAATTATCAATTTCTCAAATCCCAAATTTCCAAATTATCAATTTCTCAAATCCCAAATTTCCAAATTATCAATTTCTCAAATTCCTACATTCTCAATTTCCCAATTCTCTAATACATCAAATTTTGAAATCCCCAATTCCCCAAATTCCTAGACCCTCAAATTCCAAATCTCCTAATTCTCAAATACCCAATTTCCAAATTTTCCAATCTACAAATCCTCAAACCCCAATTCTCCAAATCCCAAATCCCATTTCCCGAAATCCCATTTTTTCCCAAATCCCTAAATCCTTAAATCTAAAAATTCCCAAATTTCCCAGCGTCAAATTTTCTAAATTTTCAACCTCCTAAGTCCACTATTACCTAAACTCCCAAACCTTCTATTCCCAAAATCCCAAAGTTCCCATATTTGTAAATAATTTCTCAAACTCGCAATAAATTAACAAAGAGTACATCAAAACAAGTAGAATCCTTTTATATTTTCTACGTGTATAAAATCGTGTCAAGCTATCACGTTCTGTCTTCTCAAAGTCCGCTTCTCTGGGAATTCTCCCGCGTCCATTTTACCCCCGCCATCTTCGAATGTCAGTCAGCCGATGAACTTGTCAATTTTCGTTGCCGACACGCACGAAACGATCGACTGGCATAACGTGCACCCGATTTTTCGAGACTCCGATAGATTGACACTTCCGCCATGCGTCCTTTTTCACGAAAAATATCGATAATAGAGCCGAGTCGTGCTTTCTGGACTGGAAGACATTGAAATGCTACGCGGGTACAGCGTTTCATGCTGTTATGAAGATTTATACGATTTCTCTTCTTTTAAATTACTGTTGTTGCTACAAATACGAGGCTGGTATTAGATTATGTTTATTTGGTGGATTTTAGGAATGTGATTATTGCAAATTTTTATAAGCAAATTTAGGTATTTACAAATTTGATCAACTTCAAAAATTGAAAAACTTGTCTGAATTGTTAAGTGTTTGAGGATTAAATATTTTCACAATCAGATTTGAACTTCAGTGACCCAGACAAGATTGTCAAATATAGAATCTCTAAAAAATGACACATTTCCAATCTGTTCAATTTAAATCTTGTAAAATCCAATAGTTTCCAAAGCTGCAGATGTTCAACTTCAAAAATAGAAAAATTTGTCTGAATTGTTAAGTGTTTGAGGATTAAATATTTTTACAATCAGACTTGAACTTCACTGACCCAGACAAGATTGTCATACATAGAATCTCTAAAAGATGACACATTTCCAATCTGTTCAATTTAAACCCTGTAAAATCCAATAGCTTTCAAAGCTACAAATCTTCAGCTTCAAAAAATAAAAACTTTGAATTTTTTAATTTTTGCCTGAATTATTAAAGGCTTGTGAATTATTAGTACGATCAGACTTGAACTTAACTGACCCATAAAAGAATATACATTAGTATTCTAATATTGCCTAGACAACATGGTAACCATTTAATTGTACCAAAATTCGTATCGTAAAAAATTGTCGAAATGGAATAGCGTTTAAAACGTTTTCATGTATTGTCTGTTACAGTTTGGACAGAGATCAGCCGTTCACATTCCAGCTGGGAGTTGGCCAAGTTATTAAAGGCTGGGACCAGGGATTGGTGGATATGTGCGTGGGCGAAAAAAGGAAGTTGACCATACCGCCGGAACTCGGATACGGAGAGAAAGGAGCCGGAAACGTAATTCCTGGAGGTAAAGTTCCTTCCTCGACGTTCTTGCTATCCGTTGCCTCTGAAGTTTCTTATTATTTCCTCGTGCTATCGGATAGAAATTAGTTTTCCCAGCGTGCAGTCGGTTTAATGAACTTTACTCGGAATTCTAGCCGAGAAAACATGTAGATAAATAAAACGCGTAAATATACGGCGTGTAGAATGGAAACAATGGGTATATTTTATGTTATCGTTTCGATTTATGTCAATATTATCATGGAGAGAGATATGGCCTGAAATAAAACTGCATGCTCTTAGGATTTGTAGGAAATGGGTTAATCGATGTTTATCGCGTTGTGAAATGGAAGTGAAAATTGCGTGGTCTTAGGACTGATGAAAGATGGGTTAAATAATATTTATCGTGTTCTGTAATATGTAATTTTGGGAATTTAATAATGTAAAAATTTGGAAATGGGAAAATGGGAAAACTGAAAAATTGACAAATTGACAAATTGACAAACTGAAAATTGAAAAATTAAAAAATTGACAAACTGAAAAATTGAGAAATTGAAAAATTGAAAAATTGAAAAAAATGACAAATTGAAAAATTGACAAATTGACAAATTGACAAATTGACAAATTAACAAATTGAAAAATTGAAAAATTGAAAAGTGGAATATTTCGAAATTTTATAATGTGGAAACTTTAAAATTGAGAACTCCAGAAATTCGGAAACCCAAAAATTTAAAAATCCAGAATTTTGCTCCTTCTAAAATTTAAAAACTAAAGTATCTCAAACTCTATATTCCCGAGTTAAGAAATCAGCAATCCATCATTGTCCACATAATGAATTCCGCATCATTTCCGAAACCAGAAAATCAAATAAATTTACATAAATTAACATAATAACACGGGAAAACCCGTTTTAAATATGCAAAGATGAAACTATAAATAAATTGATTAATGAACCGCAACATTATTAAAGTAAATGTATGTGTTACAAATGAATTTATAATTAATAACGAAAGTTCCAGGCTAATTGCAATTAATGAAGTGAAACCTTCAGTTTCGTCCATGCGAAATTCCATAGTACCGATATAGTAATTAGCACGGGTGGAACAATGAAAAATACGAAGCGAATTGGTCCGTAGTCAAAGAAAATATTTTCGTATTTCTACGCGGTCGTTCTATTCAATGTAAACATTTTCCCATAGCTGTAATTCAGTTTCACCGTAAAACACGATGTAGATTGAATACACTTTCCAGCAATGTTGTCTTTCCGAGAAACAACCGCAATCTGTTGACGGGCTTTTGTTCAAATAATTGTAACGCAAAACATTCCCGAAATAGAGTATTAAAACCACTATTCGCAAGTTTGTATAACAGGGTGATGGAAAAACCTCTCGTTACGTTTGACGTTCAGTTTCGTCGACGAATTTCAGATGCAACATTATAGAGGAAAATGTTGAAATGAAAGTTCGGTTTAATAACAGACACGCATTTATTACACTCGCTAATAAAACTTTGCAGAAAATTTCAAACAGGAACATTAACAGAAATTTTCTATTTGACGGTAGTCGAAACGCGTGTAGGTGCTTTAATTACGAGCACATCTACAAAGTTAATAAGCTTGCAATAACAGAAGGCTTTCATTTCATATTCAATTTCTCGAATAAATTCCGCAAATCGAGAACATTTCTCGTATTCACAATTGCAATTTCAAATAGTTAAATAAAATTACAAAATTTTTAAAAATACGTTATGGCTGCTGACATTCAATTTTACGAAGGTATTGCAGACTCTCGACATATTGCCGACTCCAAGGATACAAGAATGGGCGATATTTGTAATTGATATTGGGCTTTGAAGTTGTCTTTTTCAATTTAGCAATAAAACTCGTTTCAGCACTTGGTGATGTAACGTTCGGCAATTTAACGCGTGGCAATATAGAAAGTGGAAATCTAACGCATGAAAATGTAACGTATCATAATTTAATGCATGAAAATTTAACGCGTGGCAATATAGCGCCGGAAAATTTAATGCGTGAAAATTTAACGCACGGCAATTTAACGCGTGGTAATTGGACGCGTGACAATATAGCGCGTGGAAACCTAGTACGTGAAAATTTAATGTATGACAATGCAATGAGTGGTAATTTAGCGCGTGGAAATCTAACGCGTGAAAATTTGAGACATGGCAGTTCAATGCGTGGCAATATAGCGCCTGACTATTTGACGCGTGGCAATATAACGCGTGGAACCCTAGTACGTGAAAATTTAATGCATTGCAATGCAACGAGCGGTAATATAACGCGTAGAAATCTGACGTGTGAAAATTTGAGATATGGCAATATAATGCGTGGCAATATAGCGTCTGACTATTTGACGCGTGGCAATATAACGCGTGGAACCCTAGTACGTGAAAATTTAAAGCATTACAATGCAATGAGTGGTAATTTAACGCGTGGAAATCTAACGAGTAAAAATTTGAGATATGGCAATTTAATGCGTGGCAATATAGCGCGCGAGAACCTACCATTTGAAAATCTAGTGCATAAAATTCAATGCGTGGCAATTTATCGCGTGTAAATCTAACACTCATCTAACGCGTGAAGATCTATCATACGGTGATACAACACATAGCAATTTAACACGTCGGCTATATTTATTAAATAAACGTAAAAGTAAATAACAGTTAGAGATAAATATTTAGCCCAAGCAAATTATCGAACGATTATATCTATTCTCGAAGGAGAACGAACGAGATCAGCGGTTGAATCGATACAAAAAGGATCGTTAGTATCGCAATCGGACTAAAAAATGCAATTGCACGGAAATCCAATAAAGCGTCAACCATTAAATCGAGCACCAGCTATCCCCGAACGACTCGGTTAGATCAACAGCGAACCGGGTTCGCTCATTTTTTTCGTGAAAGCTCTCCCGTTGGATAAATCGACGGCTTCACCTCGAATATGCATATATCTTCGATCGAAATCGTTTCTGCGTTTTATGGAGTGCCCGGTTTTGTTTGGTGAACCCTCCGTTTTGCGAGAAGAATAGGTAGAGCTAGGATAAGCTTGCTCGATCATGTAAAATAATCAGCTTTCCGATATTGGTTGTATTTCTAGCTTCATTACTTCTTTGCGATTCTATTTGCACCATTGTTTACTTCCACGTCCTTTTAATGCCAAGTCGAAATTAGAAGAATTATTTCATTAATTTAGTGGTTTTATTTTTGGATGTGACACAAGCTCAAATTTCTAGGTTTTCAAATTCTTTAATTTCGAGGTTATGAAGATTCTGTGTTTCTAAATTTTTCACTTTCAAAATTTCACAAATTCTCGAGAGTTTCATGTCAAATTACACAAATTCTAAAATTCCCATGTCCCCCATTTCCAATACTCACAAATTTCCACATTTGCCAATTCCCACATTGTGAAATCCACAAAACCGCAAACTTCTATATCCCCATATTCCTAAATCCTTTATCAATAAATTTTCAAATTTCAATGTCCCTAATTTCCAACACTCTCCAACTCCTACATCCCATAATCTTCGACCAATCTCCAAATCTTCAAATTTCAAAAAATCAGATTTCCAACAGTCCCCAAATTCGAACAAGTGACTCCTCTCCTCCATTCGTTTCAATATTTTACTTACCAGCCTGATATTTCCTTTCACCTGATTATTGAATAATAATAACTGTAATCATTAGAAATATCCTGAAGTTTTCACGTCCGATTACCGCAAAGTTCTGATAACAAGGAATTATTCACAATTTCTTTGTGTCGCAATGCTGTCCGTGGCCCTTTGTTGCGGAAGAACGTGTAACGAGAAGTTACAATGTTCGAGGGCTTTGCAACGGGAGCGAAGTAAATGCGGTTTATGCGTTTTATGGTTAATTAACTTCTCCGTCGGCCAACACAGGTTCACTCGTCTCCTTTGTAAAAAATATTTGCGGTACGACGTTTAAGCCGTACCGAGAATATTTGTTGAAGCTCGTTAGTGCTGGTCCGAGTCTTTTTTTTCAACGTTTCTGAATGAATTCGATGCGGTTCAATGAACGCCCTGCGCTATTATCTTTCACGGAAAACGAGCCTGATTGTTTTACCGGACTCTTGAAAACAATTTTACGGTTAAACAATTAAACAGATCTAGGTAAGTTTTTAATTCGAACGTGCTTTCCTCGGCAGTTTTCCCTATGATCGCGATAATTCGCTCTCCGAAAATAATTGCCCGACGAAATGAGTTTCGCAAAAATTCGAGATCGAGCGAAGGTTAATTAAAACCGACAATGGAAAAATATACTGACCGAAATAATCGAAAAATTTTAATTTTTGAACTGTACGAAAATTGAAATAGTAAGAATTAAAGGATAATGTATTTTGTAGACGAATACGTGTTGCAGATTCTTTTTTACCTGGTAGAATTAATTTCAATTTATTTAACTATTTATGAAAGATGAAAGTATTTCAGTAATTGTTACTAGCTTAAATATTATATCAAATATATTTTTGTTGCATAGAAAAATTAATATTAATTTATTCAATGAACTATGAAGGATAAAATGATTTTATTAGTTACTTAGTTATTACTAGTTTAAATTTAAAAATGAAATATATTTCAGTTACCTAGTAAAATTAATATTAATATATTCAATAAAGTATGAAGGACAAAATGATTTAAATAATTAAAATGGTTTGAATAATTATTTATTACTACTAGTTGAAATCTTACATCAAGTATATTTTTGTTTATAACCTGCTAAAATAAATATTAACTTACTTAATGAATCATGAAGAATAAAATGATTTAAGTAATTTATTATTTGATTATTGTCACAAAAATTAAATTAAACAAGAAAGATATCTCCAATGACCCAAACGGAGAAAGGAAACTTTCTTCGGTACAATGCACGTAAGGGAAGAACAAGAGAGAAGAAATTGCGCACAAAGAAAAGAAATTTGATTCCATCTATTGTCGATGTTGCAACCAGTCGAGAAAAAGAGAGACCTTTTCGAACGTTTACCACTGTTCCAAGTCGAGATGAGAGTGATTTGTTCCTTAACTTCTATTGAGCGCCCCATGTGAGGGTTAAAGTCGAAATATTTGACTCGGGATTTCACTTAAACATCGATTTATAAATTACTCAGATATTTCACACGAACTTGTACTTTTACAAATTTTGTATTTTTGCCTTCATTCAGATTTATTTATGTTTGCTATTCAGGTAGAAACTTTTGTTTGAAAAATTGCAAATATACTATTTTATTCTATAAACATAAAATGCTCTATATAATTGAAATAAATATAATTTTTTATATTAACCCTTTGTTGCACAATTTTTTCAATTTTTATATATACAAAATTTGATATACACATCATTGAATGCTGATATATTATTTCATTACCTATACTTAATGTAAAATTACACATTCATTATTTTATATATTAACCCTCGTTGCACAATTTTTCCAACTCCACAAAAAATATATATATTCTTCAACTATTGCAAGTAATAACAGCAGAAAAATGACAAATACTAAAAATATTTTCTAATTAAAAAATTGATTTAAAAAAAATTACATACCACAATATAAAGAGAAATGTTTCAAAATTGAATTAAAGAATTATCTACAATTCTAAAAATTTCAATTAGGAAAATTGACAAATAAGATCTTCGGTCGAAATTGTTTACGAGTGCAGAATGTTAAAATATCATGCATACTTCATCCCCAACGATCCTCGACCGTGCAAATTGTAATTAGAACTATTTACACAGTACGTAGAACGTGACACGACTTAAAGTTCGAATGTAACAAACTAAATCGTATATATGTACAGCAGAGTTGAATTACAACTTCTGTAATTGGAACTAGAGTTATAATTTAACTTTCCAACAAATGTGATCCTGGTTTGTCATATCTCAACTTTAACTTGTTAGACGAGTGTGATTCGATATTCTGACGCAGAGGGTTAACTGTATTTTTCATACAAATTACTAATTGTAAGTTTAACAATTACGCTTGAAATATCTGTCTATTGTTTGGGGAATTTTGTTACTTAATCTTTGAAGTTAATTTTCGAAGTTATTCTCGTGACAAATTGTGGTAAGGAGAGTTTAGTGTAATTTTAATATTTCATTTTTATATTTTAATATTTTTTTATATCTTCATTACAGATTTTTTTATATTCTTATATTTTAATATTTACATTTTTGGTATCATAGTAATGTTGTTTAAAAAATTTTTCTGTAGTTTTTATTTAACAACTCTAAAATTCAAGATTTCTAAATGTCCAAACTAATAATTTTAAAAATTGTGAACTTCAAATTTTCAAACATAAAGAATCGCAACCTTGAATGTTTAAAAATTGACCCATATAAAAAAAACGGGTGCTTGCAAGCCACTAAAAATCGAATAAAAAATTTTGTATCCAAACTTCGAATTCTCAAAACAGTCCACTGCTTAAGAACAGCATAACTGTCCATCAAATACGGGTCACTAAAGACCCAAAACTATTGAATGTATTAATTACCAACGTTCTTTGGACCAATATTGAACCAATAGCACTCTCGATCGTTTAATTTCCAGCAGCCCGACGCGACACGCTGTGCTTTGTATTAATTGCGCCCGTTTAAGTAGTGAATAATTGAGCGGCATATTTCATTAGAACACAGTTTAATCGCGATGGGACCGTCCATAATTAATACAGGACACGCGTGGCTGCTGCACAATTCTCTTGTCTGTGTACGGTTCGTTAAATTTTCGAGAAAATGTCGCGCACGAACGAGATAGTTCTCTCGTTATCGCCAAAAGTGCAGCGCGGTTCACGGTGTTGCGTAATCCGGACAGATTTGTCGTTCTTATCGAGAAGAACGACACTCATTGCGTAAGAATTATCTCGATGAAATTGATTGGCTATTTCTATGGATATTAAGAGTAAACGACCGATTACAGTCACTTATTTATATCGGTTTAATCTTAACTGGATAACAGATCGGGTAATCAAGGGACTTATGTAATTGATTGGCTTATTATTTTATTGGCTTTTTCTCAGACGCTTTCTTTTCCTTTGCACCTTCTCAATTTTCCGATTATTCAAATTTGTGATAAAATCTTGATGTATGAAGTGTTTCGTATGCAATGTTCATTTCTCAAATTTAAATAACAGATCTTTTCTTCAAGAACTGTCATTAGTTTCATTAATTTTAAAATTCAGGAAAAAATTAACGAAAAAGAAAATTTGGAAACCGAAATATTTTATGATGTTTAGAAGCAAGTTTAGAAATTCAGGCAGCTGACAAATTTTTGAGGTTAAGAACTCAAATATATGTCAAGAAATTATAAACCATCTTTTAAAGCAAACTTTTAATCCCAAAAACTTTAAAAACATATTCTTGGAACTTCCAAGGCAAACTTTGAGGTTATCTCCAAATGCAGTTTCCAAATGATCACATTCAGTAATATGAAAACTTTCAAAATCCTCCAAGCTTCGCAAGTTTTCCACTGCAAGCAAGAGAAAAATTGCAACTGATCAGCAATCAGAAAAATTGTCAACTTTACCAGGCGGCCATATAACGAGACTCCAGACAGAAACATCTGAATTGGCCATCAGTGGTCCAGTTACCCGTTTCTCGAAGAAGCTGTCAATAATTCGAACATGCTCGCAATTTCCTCGATCGTTTTAAACGAGAAGAATCGCGATTGGTAGTAAACGTCAGCAGCAAGGGCTCCGTCATACGTCATGGAGGAGGTTTCGAAATACGGGACAGGTTTTTCGTCGGGAACAGAGCCGTGCAGATCGTCGACGGGCAAATAATAGAAAAGCCACGGCAATCGTCTTTCGTCAGCATTGACAGAGACGTATTGGATTTTTATTGGGTTTCGAGCAATCAATGCGCCGTACGCGTGTCGCCCGTTCGCAAGGATCAGTGAAACATAATAGAAAATCAGTACATACAGAACCATTTTCTTTTTCGGGTACCCAAGTTTTTTTCACCCGGAAACGTTTAAACGTTATTAGCTAGAAATTCGAGATAGTTTCGTTTGGAACGCCTGGCCACTGTTATCTGCCAACGGGACATTTGCAAGTCTGAGTGGAAGGTTCTGGATCGTGTTCGAAAACGAGTATCGTGAATTCTGGACCGTGGTCTTACTTGAAAGAATTTTTCGATGGTTAATTCGCTTTAAATACAAGATGTTACTTCTGAAATTGTAATGGCGGAATTTCACTTTTTGCGGAAGAGACTCTACTACTGTGAATTTAAAAATCCACACTTAAAAACTTGCAAAATTGAAAATGAAAAAATCTTTAATTTCTAGAATTTAAGAATACTTGATGTATAATAATTCCTTCACATGTGTCACACCTTCTGTAAACTTCTGAATTTCAGAAATTTTGCCCCATATAATTTTGGAACATCGAAATTTAGACAATTTTGTACTTTATATTTAATACTTCGAGAAATTTTGAAACTTTGAAAGAAGGTTCAAAAAATTCCGAAAATCTCTAAAGTCCAAAAAAGAAAATTCCAAACTTGCAAGAATGAAAAATTGAAAACTCACTAAATATTTGCATAAGTATAAATAATTAAAGAGCTGAGAGTGAAAAGTTTATATACAATGGAATAATTATTGATGCATTTGGATGTCGTTTGGTAACATGATCATCGAATGCCAGTTACGCATTATTGATACGGATAATAAAAGGAATTACTGTATAGCGTCGAATAATTATCACGCGTACTTGAATTCGCAACGAAACACGAGGTGTCACGGTGTTTCGATTAATTAATGAGAAATAAATTGTTTAATTAAATGTTTCGTTGCGCTGCACATTTGAAACGCGACAGAGGACGGTAATTAAAGGCGGATCGAATCGAATTTAACGAGACAGTAATTGTTGCCTACGGAAATGGTGTCATTTCAAGTTTTATATCCTCCCTGGGTATTTGTAAATTGCGTTTAATCGATAATTAAAGCTAATGCGTTCAACTTGAGGAATGTTTACTGAACGGGTAAGCGTTTTGGGTAGAAATGCAAAACAATGTTAATTGTTAAATATTTAACTCGAAGTAGAAATTAATGGGGGATTAATTATAATGTAGGTTCATTGAATTAATATTTTTATGACACGTGTGAAGGAATTGTTATACTGCGTTTGGGATTCTTAAGTTTTGGGAATTCAAGATTTTTTAATTTTCGATTTTGCAAGTTTTTAAGTGGGGATTTCTAATTTTCAAATTCTCAAATTTCTATAGTTTCAAATTTCCATATTCTCAAGTTTCCATATCGTCAAATTTCCATATTCTCAAATTGCCATAATCTCAAATTTCTATATTCTCAAATTTCCATATTCTCAAATTTCCAAATTCTCAAATTTCTATATTCTCAAATTTCCATATTCTCAAATTTCCAAATTCTCAAATTTCTATATTCTCAAATTTCCATATTCTCAAATTTCCAAATTCTCAAATTTCTATATTCTCAAATTTCCAAATTCTCAAATTTCCAAATTCTCAAATTTCTATATTCTCAAATTTCCATATTCTCAAATTGCCATAATCTCAATTTTCCATATCGTCAAATTTCCATATTCTCAAATTGCCATATTCTCAAATTTCTATATTCTCAAATTTCCATATTCTCAAATTTCCAAATTCTCAAATTTCCAAATTCTCAAATTTCCAAATTCTCAAATTTCCAAATTTTCAAATTTCCAAATTCTCAAATTGCCATATTCTCAAATTGGCATTCTTTCACATCACCATATTTCCAAATTGCCAAATTACTAAATTCCCGAATTTTCTTCTCTTCTTCAGCAAAGTAATAATGTAGCTTTGAAATTATCAAAACCTAATTCATTAACAAAATCATGTATTTTTGATTTCAGGTGCTACCTTATTGTTCGACGTTGAACTCATCAACATCAGCGATTCTCCACCATCCGCAAACGTATTCAAAGAAATCGATAGCGATCACGACAACCAATTATCCCGCGAGGAGGTGAGAACAATGGCAAGATCTCTTTTAATTTCTTTTCAAGGGTTACATCTGGTGATGGTTTTAGCATAAGTATATTTTCAATAATATTTATTACATCATCAAATATCTTCATTCATATTCACATTCAGCATTTGATAGCTTGAATTCTTAATAATTTTACTGACAAACAATTTAGAATGAATATTTAATAAAAATTTTCTAGTATCATTTACATAATTATTTCATGCATGAGAGTAATTTTATAAACTCTTTTTAAAACATGAAAATAATTATAATTTTAATTATTTCTCATTTTATTATAATTTTTATTATTTCTTTGAAGACATTCTTTTTTATTTATTATTTAGATTTTTCTTATCATTTATATTATTTATTTATTTGATGTCTATTATTTCTCTTTGAATATTTATTTTTTGCTACTTGAAGTTTTGTAGAACTGCAAACTGATTCTGAAAGAGAATCCTTAAAAGGATGTTAAATTATTTACGAGTTCGTGCTACAACTTTTTCTTACAATTTATCGAAGAATCGTCTGACAATTTCTTTCGCCTGGGAAAATTGATACGGATCGAAGTGGAGACCAATCACGACATTGGAGCTTGCTAGCTTTATCTCCGCGTGCAAGTGCAAAGGATTAACGTGTACACATTGTGCAGGGGAAAGAGTTGTAGCACGAAACGTTTTTCACCTTTTTTCGACCGTAACAAACAGGAGCAACTAAATCCTTTGCCATTTTTCCACCGTTGTCTGTGTGTGTAGATGCATTTTGATCACTTTGAAATATCGTGCAACTTTTCGAGCGTAGATATATCGCATCGAAGTGAATTTAAATCAATCCTTGCTGCGTTTCTATGCAAAATCGTAGAGAAGTAATCAAATAAATGAATTCATTGTCTTTAAATTTATTTATAAATTTAATACATCACAACAAAGTAATTTAATACATCACAGATTATTAAATGATATTAACTCGGAGATTTACAAGAATTATTTACTTTTTTGCAAAAGATTTTGTGCAAATGGAAAAAGTGGAATTACAGTTTTGAAGGTTTTTGAGTTGTTGACCAGCACGATACAGTGGAAACCGTTGTATGCAAGACGAAAGTAAATACTTTAACCCTTTCTGCAAACACAAAGAGGTAACAAGAGAGTTAAATACTTTAACCTCTTTTAGAACCGCAAGTTCACAAATTTTGAAAGCAGCAATTTACTGTATGTTAGAAAACTTTAGGCAATTTTAGTAAAAATTTGAGGACTTTAAATACAGATATAAAATAAAAATAATAAAAATAATAATTTATAATACAATTAATTGTTATTTAAAACATGATATGTTTGTGCGTTGTTTTTCACAATCACTACTATCTAGATTTCATTAAAATCATGAAACTTTTCTTTCAAACAAACTTTATCTGTATCCTCCATCATGAGTTAGTTCCACAAATCACCACATGGCGTGCATAAATCGTATCAGTAGAGATATAACTTCACTTAATTAGGTAACCTGATAAGAGTTACCTAACCTAATCTAACTAGTATAGTTGTATACATCACCTTGTTCCTATGTCTGGCAGTTCTCTCACAGTGAATAACACATTGTACAGATGATCGTTTTAATCATTTTTGAAACTGATATATTCTATTCAAAATATTAACACTTAATATTCCAAAGAAGTAATACTTGACATAGAAGTAGTAATATTTAATATTATAAGGAAGAATTACTTAATATCTGATATTCCGAAGACATTGTAATATTCAATATTTGAAAGACATGCTAATATTTAATATTGTAAGGCAACAGTAATGTTTAATATCACAAAAAAGTAGTAATATTTAATCTTTCAAGGAAGTAGTAATATTTAACAGTTTAAATCCTATCTCATATTCCGAAGACATAGCAATACTTAATATTTCAAAGAAGTAGTAACACTTAATCTCCCAACCAAGTAATAATATTTAACATTACAAAGAAACAGTCATATTTAATACGAAGGACACAGCTATTCCATAAGGATTCTCATCTCCATCTTGCATGCTAAAAATCCAACATGGTCGTCATTCCGTCCAGCATGGTCGATTCCATACGAATCTGGTGAGACCACACCATAAAACTTGCCACCCTTTTGCTACATCGAAACTGAAATGGTCAATGCGTTTGCTTAGGTGAGCCAGTACCTGAGGAAGCAGATGATCGAAGCGGAGCAGGGAGGCAGCGAGAACGAGGAAGTAAAGAAGATGCTCGCGGATCACGACAAGCTTGTGGAGGAAATTTTCCAGCACGAGGACAAGGACAAGAACGGGTTCATCTCCCACGACGAGTTCACCGGGCCGAAGCACGACGAGCTCTGAAGTCTTCGTGCCGCGTCGCCGCGTCTTCGAGCACCGCGTCGCCGTCGGCGTCGTGTCTCGCGCCACCACGTGTTCACATCCGCGCGGAATCGCCTCTTCGAGTCCTGCCCGGTCCGCGAACGTCACTGAATATCACAGATATCATCGATCGATGATGGACCGCTTCACCTACCACTCGGTGCACCTTCGAGCTCGAGGAACAAAAGAGAAGCTGAAGAAACGGTTCTCTTCCTCGCTGGGACGTTTCTCTGGCCAGTTATAACTTCGGATCAGGCATAAACGGTTTCGCTGGAACTACTCTTCATCGATCTTGGAAGAGTTAGCAAGAAAATTAGCTGACTCGAAAGTATTCCTAAAGCTTCTCGAGTCGCGTTCTCCTCCCGGGACGCTTGAACGCGTTAACGGCCGAAGAGGATCCTGAGGAAGGGAAGCGACAGACTCGAGCGAAACAATAATTACGCGGACTCGGAAGTGAGATCGTCTGAAAAGTTTTCGAAGGATCTTACTCGGGGATGCAGTTTTACTACGACGCGAGACGCGAACACGCCTTGAACCAACCGCGAGTGCTGGTCGAGATCCTGGCGGGAAACGAGGCTGTTTTACCTAATATAATTATATATATAAATAAATATAAATATAGATAGAAACAGAGAAAAAGAGAGACAGAGAGGAAGGAAGAAAGAGAGAAAGGTTGTGAGAGAGACAGAGAGAAAGTGTTTTTTCTACACGACTATAGATGTTAGCGTATATCAATTAAGCGCATCGACGTAACGGTGCTATGAATCACACGCGAAGAAACGATCTGTCCTTGTCTCGAAAGCTTCTTCCTTTTTTTTTTTTTTGATCCAACCCTCTTCGCCGTATCACGACAAATTCACCTTCCCCTTTTTCATGAGCAATCAAACCCCACCGGCATTCTCGGTCACGAATGTCACGCGAGAGACTCGCGAGAGGACCGGCAGAGAAAACTCGAAGCGGGACGACGTAAATAAAAAAAATGAAATAAAAAAATATTCGAGGATGCGTGGTGGAGATGAATGGCGATCGCATCGTAGCGATCTGTTTCTTACATGATCGACGCTATCATTATTACACTTTTAAACTGATACGTTTTTATTACTACATTATATTGTATGTTGTTAAAGTTGGACGAAGGTTAATTAATAAATCGTGTGTCTCGAGCACAGTTTGTTATATAAAGTGATTTGTTTGATTTGCATGTCTGTTTTTTACCTTGTCCCTTGGGTTTGTTGATGGACTTACAAGCTGGAAATAATATCGTAAAAATACAGGTAGACAAGCTGGAAATAATATCGTAAAAATACAGGTAGATTAATCATAGTATGATTGATATTGATTAAGATATGTTGGTAAATTTTTCTTTAGAAATAAAATATATGGTGCATGTATTAGAAGTTAGGTCTTTTGTACGTAGGATTACAAGGTACAAATTGGGGATTTAGAAGTTTAGGTTTGAAGATAATTTTGAGAGTGCGGGGAGTTGAGGATTTGGGGAATTTGCAAATGTGAAAATTTAAAAATTAGAATATGTGGTAATTTGAAGATTTGAAAATTTGTGGATTTTAATTGAAGATTTGAGAATATAAGAATTTAAGGATTTGGGAATTTGAGAATTTGAGAATTTGAGAATTTGGAGATTTGGAGATTTCAAAATTTGGGAATTTGGGAATTAGGGAATTAGGGAATTAGGGAATTAGGGAATTTAGGAATTTGGGAATTTGGAAAATTGGAAAATTGAAAATTTGGAAATTTGGGAACTTGGGAACTTGGGAACTTTTGAATTTGGGAAT